CTTATAAAACAAGTACACAATCTTTTGTACACAGAAAACAACAAAATGGGAATATATTTGTTCACTCACCAGAGTATTGTCAATACATAGGGTATATATACAGCAAAACCATCGATGACTCGATCATCACAGCCATCAATAGCGAACAAATATATTCCCATTTTGTTGTTTTCTGTGTACAAAAGATTGTGTACTTGTTTTATAAGCTTAAGAAAAAAATTAGACTTACAAATGGCCACAAATATCCCTCAATACTCCATAAAGTGAACTAAATTTTCATTTTTATGTCAGAATTTCTTTAAAAGTAAGATTAAAGGGAAGTATAAGTTTCGCAAAGAAGAAGACAACTCAAGACAAGACAACTCTTGTCATGTGTTCAAAACAATTCTCGACACGATTTAAAGATAAATCAAAATTTATTTCAAATTTATATAAATCTTTTGCCTTTCTTTTGGTTTAGAAAGAGATCCGTTCAAAATATTTGATGACATTTTGCGCGTGACTTAAATTACAATACATTTCTGCCACAAAATTCATCAATAAATCAATTGCTGACAAATTCTTTACCATTTATTTGCAAAATCAAGAGATATTTCCAAACTTTTTATAGATATTCCACTCGTAATAGTATTAAAATTATATTTATATTATATTTATACTCAAAGTAAACAAATGATAGATTTTATATAAAAATATAGTCGTATTATTTTCTTATTGAATGCCATTTGAAATACCATTCATAAGAAATGTGTGTCTCGTGTGAGTTGTTTCCATCAGTATTTCAATTTATAAATATGTTTACATTATATCAAGGATTTGATTTGCCATTCAATCCATTCATTACAATTACGGAGACTTTTGTGTACAATATGTCTAACATTGCAAATGATAAATGAATTGTCTCTTAAATAATTACAAAGTGTTGTTTGATTTGGAAGAATGAATGTCAAGAACATTCTTACACTCATTTATGTATATTTATGTCAGCGATTCATATCAATAAAGCAATTCATCTTTTAGTTCCTCTTTATATAACTTTTGATTTTTACACGTAATCTTGAAATTCATTTCCTTATTCTCTATTCACTCAATTCATATACTTTTTGCTAAAACAACTTATTTATAAATAGTAAAATAAATAATAAAATGAATAATTTATTTAATTATAAAGTTCATTATTAACTAGTTTAATTAGAAATCTAAATGCTTACTAATAAAATAGTGACCAAATAGTAAATGAATTAATAATAATTTGATGATTTATTTACAGATCAATTGGTCGAGAATGGGATTCAATGATTCTATTTATAGACGAAACAAACCGTGAAAATCAATTGTCGGCGAAATAGTAGTGAGAAATACAATCAAAATGGAAATCGAGGATAATATGGATTTGAAGAGCAGTTCATTCATAAACGTAACGCTCGCCTTCTGGACCAATGACAATGGTTTGGCTATTCCTCCGCAGGCTCTCCATCAACACAATGATAATGAAAACTCACAATTATTTGACACATTAAATGAGGCCAATAATTATGAGAAACATTCAAATCAATTGCTTAATGCAAACACCGGAGAGAAACCAATATCGGACGTCAATCGCAACGAACCGACGGTTCAGCGTTTGATTAGCTCTCTATTAAGTGACCAATTCTTGGCCCCTAAAGAGGAGTCCGCACTCAATGGTAATGACAATATCAGCGGTTCTCTCATCGCAAACATCACAAAAAGAGTGTTTGAAAACTTGACAGACGTTACAAACGATACACTCTTGTGCTCTGAATTGACCACAAATGACTGCATTTGGAGGAATATGACGGCAACCGATAACAGCACCCATGACTTGGCCCACACTCCACATCCCGATCGAGTCTATTGGGCCCTATTCTTAGTGATACTTCCAATACTCGCACTCTTTGGCAATATTCTCGTTATACTCAGGTATTGAAGTATTAAACAAAAACAAACGATTCTTACATTTGAAAAGTGTGTTAATATGTGTTTTCTGATGTTTTCTTTCCATTAAATTGTAGTGTTTATAGAGAGAGAACTTTACAAACGGTTACGAATTGGTTTATAGTGAGTCTGGCTTTCGCTGATTTATTCGTAACCATTCCTATGGTTTTCTCGCTTTACGTTATGGTAAGAAAGCATTTAATACTCAATTTTTAGGCCCAGACTTACGGTTTAGTGGAGGCATCGCAGCCATCCATAAGACATTTGCTGTCAATGATTGATGTAATGCAAGCGAAATGCGAAACTCAATTCGGGCTTCACTTCCAATGCATTGGAGCTCAAACTTATGTCCTCTTAATTCTCTATATATCTGTCGTTTCAATCGATTCCTCACTCTTTAACAATCGTCTCATAGAATGACAGAAAATGTAATTTACATAAACGTTTCGTTTGCTTTTTTACCCATAATTGAGACAAACCAATAGATCTCGTCTTCAATACTAATGATATTAAATTGGTTTTATATGATGTGAAATATTTTAAATATATCGTAAGTACATTCGTGTCTCGTCCGACACTTACACTTCACGTCGCCTTTACTTACCTTATAATGTAGTCTTCAATGATATTTAAAACTCAATTCACTTCAAACTCCAAACTATTCCCAAATTCACTGCCAAACTCTTTATGGTAAAAATTACTCCATAAGTGAATGCAAGTAATGTTGCGAAATATTTTAAAATACTCTTATATAAATTGTAATGCATTTATTTTTACATTTAGATAAAAAAATATTTATTATTTTTGTTGGAATATTTCCATTAAATTTACTTAAAATTATTTCAATTTAAGGCTTAATCATTAATATGTAACTTCATATAGTTATGCACATAACCATCAAATTTAATAGTCTTTATTGTAATTTTTGTTTTTATTATTTTATTTAAATATCAGAAACAACTAAATAAAAAGGAAAAAATTATAATATATGTTGAATTATTACAATGACATGTATTCGCACTTTTGGTTTAATGTTATCAAAAAATATGTGAAAGTATTGTGCCTTCAATATAATCACAAAGGTTTACAAGAAATATATATTACATTCATATCCATGTGTTGTAAAAGGCGTTGACGCTGAACGGGCCGACCATCACATGCTCGGCATAGTATAGACTTAAATCAATCTCACTTTAATGATAAATTATGGCACTTGTCTGCCATCCCTGGCATCCCTTTCCATCCACACTA